TCTATGCATCACATGAAGATAGAATTTTCCATATTGTTTCCTAAATACCTCCTTATCCTCAGGATGTTAGGTTTCTGGGAAAAGAAAAAAGAAAAAAAAAATGTTGCATAGGCATATAATTTTGAGAAACATCATGTAGATTCTTTTAAAATTTATTACTTATTATTCATTATTTTCATTTATGTATATGGGTGTTTTACCTGTACACATGTAATTGCCCTCATGTCCATGTCCTGCAATGCCAACAGAGGCTAGAAGAGGGCATTGGAAACCCTGGAACTGGTGATACCATGGGTATTAGCCAGCATTTTGGTGCTGAGAACAGATCCTGGGTCCTCTGCCAAAGCAGCCAATGCTCTTAATCCCTGAGCCATCTCTCTGGCCCCTTCTTGTAGATTCTTGATGGATGTTTGCATATTAAATACTCTGAAGGTCTTATGGTTAAGAAACTTTCCCAAATATATTTAACCCAGAGTTTTGTAATCTTTTCCATTTATTTTGTTACTATGACAATTCTTTTCTTAATGTACTTGTTAAGACATTGTAGGTTTCTCACTACAAGGAAAACAGCATTGCTTTAAAACAAAGCAGCAAGATTGATGATTATTTTTTTCCTCTGGTAGTATGCACAACACCTTCTCACACTATATAAGCTAACCAGTGTGGATGACATGTTCAGGTCAATACCTACACCTTGCTCACTTGTGAAAAGGGGGCAAAAATGTTATGGGAGTAATCAACCACCCTCTGATTGAATTTAAGACTTTTTCCACTAGAGGAAACCTATAACTTGCACTGTTATTGGGGTCAAGAACCTGTAGCTAGATAGGTCATAGGCCCTAGGGGACAAGATAGTACTAGTATTCTACTAAATAGTTTTGGTATTAAAATGATTCCTAATTAATTATTGCTATACCCATTGATTAATTCATCTCTCAACCCTTATCAGAGAGACTTTTATTGAAGTACAAGGTAATTACCACACAGACTCACAACTGGTTAACATGCATAAAATAAGAGCGTAATGAGTGCCCAGCCCCAAATGGGACATCACCATCACACCCCATCACAAAGAGACCTTCATGGGGAGGGGGAAAGAAAGATTGTAAGAGCCAGAGGTGCTATCTGGAGTGGGGAAGAGTTTGGTATTTGGACCTAAAAATCTTAGCATGCAAGAAGCAGATTTTAACAGTTGTTCTGGTGGGAGTTTTGAAGACAAGAATGCAGGGAATACAGTAGATAGTGGAGGCCAGGCTCATGAGGTTTCAGAGGGGAGCAGGAATTCTATTAGGAACTGATCCAGAGACCCTTTATGTGATATTTTGGCTGAGAATTAAATTTTATTCTGTCTGTGTCTTGTGAATGTCAGTGAAGTTGAATTTACAGGGAATTCACTGGGGCTGGGGAGATAGCTCAGCAGTTAAGAGCACTGACTGCTCTTCCAGTGGACCTGGGTTCAATTCACAGTACCCTCATAGAGGATAAAGGCTGTCCATAACACCATTTCCAGGGGATCTAACACCATCTTTTATTACAAAAATGGAAAATTAACTAATACAAATGTTGGTACCAGGAGTGGAGTGTTGCTGTGAAGAGCCTGTCATGTAGGTTTTCAGAGGAATGTGGAAGACTTTGGAAGGTTGGACTAGGCAAGCCATTGAGTGCTATAAGAAGAGCTCAATGGCTCATTCTAGTTAGAGCCTCTCTGTAGTACAGAGAACAAAATGCTTCCCGGGACAATAAAGACTTGAACACAACTGACATGTTTTGTCAAAGCAGCTGGCTGCAGTCTGCCTGTATCCTAAGAACTTGTAGGAGGCTAAGTTGAAAAGTAAGAAAATAATTTCTTTTGTGGAAGAAATTTCAAGACAGCCTAATGTAGAAATGGTGGTGTGACAATGGTGAATATTGTATAGACATACAGTGAAAGAGAGCAAGCGGTATAGAAAGAAATGCAAAATATACAGTTTGCACTGAAAAAGAGCACTAGGAAGGTTAATGCTAGAGTCAAGTTGCTGAAGTTGAGGCTGTTTTTGATAAGAATAGAGTCATTAAGAAAAGGCCTGTATATTTGCAATGGAATAATGGAAGGAATACTCTCAGGACAAGACCCTCAACCAGTTAAGCTTTCGATTCCTGAAAGGAAAAAGCCTAAGGAGGTCCCTGCTTCTTGAAAACTGTTTTGGTCAAAAGCTACTAGTGAGAATGAAGCAGGTTCACAGGGTGCTGGCTTCAGAGGCATGAATGACAAAGGTGGTTTTAGTTCTTCCTTGACTATTACTGAGAGCTGCCAAGGCCAGGCATTGCACAGCAGGGATCTTCCTGCATAATGAAGCCTCTGACAGGCCAAGAGGCACTGTCAGACCATTGGGTGAAGTTGTGAAGGTGAAGCTGGGTTGTCAGTGGCAACCCCAAGATGATGGAGATGCTAGAGCTGAGACACATTTACCAAGAAGAGCTGTATATAGGGAGCGGTACCAGCCCAAGGGAGAGAGATTTGTTGCATTTAGCAAAGCTGGAGCAGCTGAGT